TTCGCTTCTGTCTTGGTGTTTCGACACGACAGAGGCGCCTAAATCAGTTGTTTCCAACAGTTTCAACCCCCTAAGTCTCACCGGAGGCACTTTTTCTGGTCGACATCAACTTCATAGTGAACGACTAGATGAGGACAGATAGGGGGGTACAATAAGTTTCCCATGCCCTCCCTGTACAACCCAACCTAGCCTACAAAGTACACATGTGAATGTATATATTGTCAACATACACGCCCCTCCTACCTCCATAGTTGCCCCTCACATCCCTTACCTTCACTCTGGACTTTGGCGCTTCCCAGTGCTTCTTCCGCGACCACACTACCATATCGCTGATTTCCAGCTCCTGTCTCAGTCTCCTTGGCCGATCCCTCCCCTTGATCGATCGTTGCACGCAACGCTACCGCACTCCCGTGCCCCTCATTCCCCTCTGGCTCCAACACCCAAAAACTTGGTGGGTGACGGTCGTTTCAGGACCTTGGTGTCACCACCACCTTTCCTGGACACGAGCGGTTCACTAACTGTATGGGCGCTACCACTTCAGGACCTCCTGCCACGTTCCTCTGGTACACAACGTCAGTACGCTGCCCACTGTGTCCACCACGATCCCTGTGTCTGTTCAGTAGTTGCATCGTGCTCGTGTCGGCCGCTTACTAACGCGTCGCTTTTGTGGCACCTGTCTACGTCAACCTGCCCTCTCGCATCTCTGTCACATGGCTCAGCACGGTCGTCTCTGGTCTCCTGTCGTCGCTCCCTACTCTCCCTCCCTCATCATCGACGATGTGCACCCCTTGTCGAAGGTAGGCAGCGCGCCACCCCCCACTCCTCCTCGTTTCCTCCCACCACTGCGCCCCTTCAGACCTTGCGCTTGGACGTCTGGGGCCTTGCCCCCATCCTCGGGCTGCGCAAAGAGCACTTCTTCCTGGTTGTGGTGGACGACTACTCCCACTACACCACAATGTTTCCCTTGAAGCAGAAGGTCGACGTGCCTGACGTTCTCCTACCGTAGCTAGTAGCCACCCGCACCCAACGCGCCCAGCCTGAGCTTCGTTTGCACTCCAGCCGTGGTGGCGAGTTCGCCTTCGGTAGCCTTGGCCTCCTACGGAAGGCATCACTCAAACATACTCGCTCCCAAAATGGTGTAGCTGAGCATCGCATAGCTTGGTCATGGAAATAGCGCATACCCCCGTGACAGTGCCCCCCCGTTTTCTATGGACATTTGCAAAACGCTAGACCGCGCACCAGCTTAATATGTGGCCTTGTGTCTCACAGCCGCAGGTTTTGTCAACCCTCATATGGACTAAGTCCCTTAATGATGTGTCTGCATTTCGCGTCTGCGGCGGCCTTGCTCACGTCCGCAAGATCTCAGTCCGCACTCTCCTATGTGTCTTCCTTGATTGCCCGGATTGGTTGTTCTACCACCTTTCGTCTCGCCATTTCCCTTGCTCTCGTAACGTCACGTGGTTCCCCACCTCCTCTCTTTCTCACTCCCACTCCTCCGCTCGCTCCCCTGCCCCCACGTCCTGCCCTCTCTGGTGTGTCACACGCCACCCTCTTCCCTCCGTTGCCTGTTAACTCAGTAGGCTCGAAACATCGGGGTGCGCCTCTTGTGTTGGCACCTTGCCACAGTCGCTGCCGTCACCAGCATCATCCTCGCCGTCGCCGAAGTAGCCATCGCTATGAGTATAGCGGCTACGCTTACCGAGTTTTACTTTACCTCGCATTATCTTGCTTAATTATATTTTCTTATGCTTGCTTTCTTAGAAACGTTGCTTTATTACATTTATTATAGTTATAACACCTATTTAGGTTGCGTGCACATTATCCTACGGCATTTCGGTTATCTCCACGTGACTATGCGCTCCGCGTGATTTCACCGAATATTTTCCACCGAATTCGGAAGGTCCTGTTGTCGACGGTTCTCGAGGAATGGTGCCTTCTAGTGACCTCTGTGCTACTTGCCTTGTGTCGTGCCTATATATCGCCACTTTGTTGCACTCGTGAATCATTATTAAAAACCTTAACTTGATTCTTCAATCCTTTCAGTCGTCGCTGCCGCAGCCGATCGCTGTGGACTCTTGAGGTGCTGCCGCTGTGGGTGCCAGTTCTAGGGGTGCTGGTTCTAGGGGTACTCTGGGGGTGCTGGTTCTAGGGGTACTCTGGGGGTGCTGGTTCAGAGGGTGCTGCCGCAGAAGGTACTGGTACTGGGGTGCCGCGGGCGCGACGTCCGACGCCGCAGCACCCGCTGTCGTTGCCGCAGCAGCAGCCTCCGCCGCATATCCTAGTCTTGTCTCCTTGTCGTTCCCTAGTCTTGTCTCTGGCTCATCTTCATCCGCATTTGCAGGTGTTTCCTCCTCTGTGTCCTGACCCGAATCCTCCCTCCCACCACTGGGGTCGTCGTCACTCTCGTGCTCTCCCTGTGTCTCCACCCTATGCTCCTCCGTTTTTACGTCTCTTGTGCTGCGCCACCCTCTGTTCTCCTGGCGGACATGGCCTCCGTTTTTACGTCTCTTGTGCTGCGCCACCCTCTGTTCTCCTGGCGGACATGGCCTCCGTTTTTACGACATGGCCTCGGCGGACACTGCTAGTGGGCACGATGGCGAGGGCGTGACAGTGTCAGAATCCCAACCACTAGACCATTGGGATAAAAGGGCTTGTTAAGTAGCAGGTCAGAGTGCGCCCATAACCCCCCAGGCGAACGCGCCTGTAACCCCCCGTAGGATCAATCGGGCATCCACAGTGCAGATTCACTGACACCCCCCCACACTGGGAGGCCTAGGACTGAGCACAGCGGCAAGGGCCTACATGTGCATACACCGGGATTCGAACCCGAGACCACTCTGACACCATGTCAGAATCCCAGTCACTAGACCATTGGGGTAAAAGGGCTTGTTAAGTAGCGGGTCAGAGTGCGCCCATAACCCCCCAGGCGAACGCGCCTGTAACCCCCCGTAGGATCAATCGGGCATCCATAGTGCAGATCTACTGACACCCCCCCACACTGGGAGGCCTAGGACTGAGCACAGCGGCAAGGGCCTACATGTGCATACACCGGGATTCGAACCCGAGACCACTCTGACACCATGTCAGAATCCCAGTCACTAGACCATTGGGGTAAAAGGGCTTGTTAAGTAGCGGGTCAGTGCGCCCATAACCCCCCAGGCCAACATGCCTGTAACCCTTCCCTAGGATCAATCGGGGATCACCAGTGGACCTCTGACACCCCCCCGCACTGGGATGCCCGAAGTGCACACACTGGGATTCGAACCCGAGACCTTCGCTCTGATAACATGTCAGAATCCCAACCACTAGACCATTGGGATAAAAGGGCTTGTTAAGTAGCGGGTCAGAGTGCGCCCATAACCCCCCAGGCGAACGCGCCTGTAACCCCCCGTAGGATCAATCGGGGATCACCAGTGGACCTCTGACATGACAGCACTGGTAAGGGGGCGTGGCGGCGTTGCTGAGGGACGCGCTAGAGGGCACGAGGGACAGTTAGGAAGGTAGGAGGGGCAGACGCGAGGAACCTAACACAGACGTGATACTGTGTTTACAACAGGATGAATGACTGAATGACTATATGACGACATACAAGGGGTATTCCGGTATCTAATATCCTATACCCTCTACAGTACAACCCGACCTAACCTACATTGTGCATATGCAAATGTATATATAAACTCCCAGTTGCATTAGTCTAGTGTAATTACAATAGCTTACTGTTGGTGGTGCACCCTTTGCCCTTTCCTTGGCTTGTATGACACTAATATGAGGACGTTGCGGAGTCTTCGGCTCCTGAATATTAACCTAAGCATGTTAAAAATGGTGGACAAGCATATTGCATTGCAACATTGTTGCGTCAAGGGCATTTTTTTTCAAAAATAAAAGCGAATTGAACTACTTACCTGCTGGTCACATGACAACATTTTTCTCACCAAAAGGCTACCACATCAGATCAGAATTTGTTTCAAGAAACATTTTGTTTAAACATGCTCATAAAAAAAGTTCCACTACCGCTGCTTGTTATCTGCATAGAAGTATATGAAAAAGAGTTGCCTGGGAAAGCGTAGTTGTCAGAAGGGGTTGAGGGATTTTTTCAGTTGCGATGACAGCAGGGGTTTCGTTACTGTTACCTTCGAACTCAAACCTCTTGTTTGTACCGCAGCGCGCGTCTGTTTGGCGGGAACCAGCAATTTGTGAGCCGAGCCTCGAAAATGAGCTGGAGCCTATGATCGAAGTTGGGTGGAGTGTTCTGACTGACGGCTTGTTAATGTGTGGCCGTTGGTGTTGAATTCCCGCCTGGTGTTTGCCCAACCAGTTTTTAGCGCCTCGTGGATCTCTGACCCAGCGAGACGCCTGGCGTGGCAATGATCGGCGGGGCACTGGCCTGCCGAATTTGTCGGCCATCAAATCCCCACCATGCGCGCTCCCCCGAAATGCCACGCCTTACGAGACTCAACGGCCCAGATTGAAAATCCTACATACTTCATTTCCTTAGCTGTGGTTTGGTTTGGTGAGGACAGAACAGAAGGTCAGGCAAATTTTCGGAGCGCAACATCACCCTCATCGCCAGCTAGAGCGCCTGAGGGAGCACCCTGACCCCAAGCCACCCGCATTTCGCACATCTGACCTCGTCCTCCCGCAATTCCTCGGTTCGCCTCGCCTTGCCTCTCCTCGCCTCGCCCCGACTTGGCCCAAACCCCATTCCTCCTCTTTTCTGTTGAGCCTGTTGATTCCATCTCGCTCGTCACGACAAGCTTGAGACCATCGAGCAGCAGGTATTGGATTTCAGGTTCACGAGGCCCGGTTGCTACGGTTGCAGTATTCGCTAGTTAGTGTCGTCGCGTATGATAATATCTCCTTCCTGGCATAGACACGGTGACATCTCTCGAATTAAAGCTATTTACTACTGTAAACAGTGACAGGGCTTGGAGTTGTCCAGCCCACCGAGCAGCCGTCTTAAGCAAGCATTCCTAGCGGCAGTGGCCGCAGGGAAAAAAGCCATGCCTCCGAGTAACCACAGAAGGCCAAACGCCGCGTCAGTCTCCCCTCACGAACATCACGACCCCGCAGCATCGCCACCCAGTGCCTCCGCCGTGCTCATGGCAACAGACGCCGACGTCGCCGCCGCGTCCCCCTACGGGGAGGACCCGCAGAAGGCAGCGGCAGCAGCCATGGCCATGACCTCTCCGTGCCCACTCCTCCCTGGCGCGAAGGCAGCGGCAGCCGCCATGCCGTCAGTCTTCTGCTTCCACTCCATCTGCTACTCCGTGAATCTAGGCCGGAAGAAGTCGCTTATCCGCCGCTGCATCGAGCCGTGTGTCGGGCTCGCCGCGAAGCGCAAGTCCACGCAATTCACCTCCATCAGCGATGACGAGGCGAAGGCCTCCGCGCCGCCCAAGATCCGCGTCATCCTGAACGAAATCTCCGGATTTGCTCGGTCGGGAGAGGTTCTAGCGATCATGGGGTCGAGCGGGTGTGGAAAGACGACGCTATTGGACGTTTTGTCGCACCGGATCGCTTCTGCGGCTGCTTCGGCGGGGCCGCTGGCAGGGGGCCGGACGGGGTACATTGAGTTGGGCGACAAGCCGACGACGGACGACCTTATGCGACGCATTTCGGCATACGTGATGCAGGACGACCTCATGTACGCGACGCTGACGGCGCGCGAGACGCTCATGTTCTCGGCGGAGATGAACCTGCCGCGAAGCTTCTCGTACAAGGAGAAGCAGGAGCGCGTGGAGCGGCTGCTGGAGCTGCTTAGCCTGCAGCACGCGGCGAACACACTCATCGGGAACGAGAACCTCAGGTACGACTTGGAAGGGCGGACGGTGGGAGAACAGGACAGAGTTCTGGGGATTGACGGTGATTAATTGCATGGGTAGCTCCGCGCAGCGCTGGGCCGCTAGGCTGCGTGTCCGTGTGCGTCAATTCGCAGAACTTGGCCCATCCACAGCCTCTTGCGTTGGCCGCGTGTCAGATGGCTGAAGCAAGGCGGTGGATGCGCGTGAGAATGAGAGAGAGGGGGAGACAGAATCCGTTAAACTGCGTTCGCGTCATTGTCGTTGTAGTTGGGGGCGTCAAGCGTTCTCTGTTGCCTCGTGTTGAAGCGAGAGTGCGGCGGGTGGGAAGGCCTCTGCTGTAGCTGTGAGCAGATCTCACTCGCTGACCGCTCGCTGCGCATCGCATTCGCGACTCCTCTTCTGATGCCTCGTCTCATCTCCGCAAACCCTGCCCGCTCGTGGCTCCACCCATCCGTCCCTCTCCCCTCCGTTCCTCCCCTGTCTCTTTATCTCCCATCTCATCATCCTCCCCCTCCTCCCCCCGTTCCCATCTTCTTCCTCACTCCAACCCCCCTTCCCCTTGCTCCACCCCCACTCCCGCAGAGGCGTGTCCGGCGGCGAGCGCAAGCGCGTGGCGATCGGCGCGCACATCGTGCACGACCCGAAGATCCTCTTTCTGGACGAGCCCACCTCGGGATTGGATTCCTCCAACGCGTACCGCGTGGTGAAGATTCTAAAGGACATCGCGCTCACATCGGAGAGCATCGTGATCATGGTGATTCACCAGCCGTCGTTCCGCGTGCTGGAGCAGATCGACCAGCTGCTCATGCTCTCCACGGGCAACATGATCTTCTTCGGCCCGCCGCCGCACCTTCCGGCGTTCTTCGACGCGTTCGGCACGCCCGTGCCGAAATTCGCGAACCCGACGGAATTCGCGCTCGAGCTGCTGGAGCAGCTGAAGAGCACGTCGGAGGCGGCGCTCATGGAGCTCGTCGCGTTCGCCGCCGACTGGCACCGCAGCCGCGACCACATGGCGCACGCCAAGACCGGCCGGCACGCCAAGCCCGCGCTGCTCGCCGCGCCCGGAGGCGGCGGCGACGGCGAGGAGACTGATAGCGGCGGCGGAAGCGGTGCGGGTGCGCATGGGAGGAAGGGCGCGGACGGCAAGAAGAAGTTCTGCGGGCTGGCGGGGAAGCTGGGGAAGAAGGGGGGGAAGAAGGGGGAGGAGGAGGAGGAGGAGGAGGTGGTGGAGTCGGGGCATAAGGGAACGCACCGGTACGCCAACTCGTGGTTCCGCGAGTTCTACATTCTGTTCGTGCGGTCGGGGCTGATGATCATTCGCAACCCGCTGCTCTACTTCCTGCGCCTCATGCTGCTCACCGTCGCTGGATTCCTCCTCGCCTCGCTCTTCTACAAGCCCACTCATGAGTACGCGCCTTGCTCCTTCTGAGTACAAGCTCATCCCCTTCTTTCCCTGCTTCTCCGCACTTTTCCCCCCGCCTTTTCTCCCTTCCCCTCTTACCTTTCTTCCTCCTCGCCACCCCCACGCATCCACCTCCCCCTCAGTGCTAACCTCGTGTTTGTTTTTTTCACTAATTGCCCGTCTCGGCTTCGCGTCGCGCATCCTGCTGCGCTTGGCTCGGCCCTCCGCTGCGTTTTCCCTCCTTTCTTGGCGCTCAACTCCGCCCTTTCTCTCCCCCCCCCCTCCCCCTTACAATCCCTGCGCGTGCGCGCAGTCCGCAGGGCATGTTGGAGCGGCTGGCGTACCTGTCGTTCATCGTCGCCATGCTCTTCTTCTGCTCCGCTGACGCCACGCCCATCTTCATCATGGTACGCGCGTGTGTGGTGTGGGTGTGCGTGTGTGTGTGCGTGTGGGTGTGCGTGTGGGTGTGCGTGTGTATGTGCGTGTGGGTGTGCGTGTGTATGTGCGTGTGGGTGTGCGTGTGTGTGTGCGTGTGTGGGTGTGAGTGAGTGGGAGAAATCACTGACAACATGCCAGTGTCTGTCCATGCTTCCGGCTTGTACTGCGGTCAATGCTCAGCACGCTCTTTCTCCTCAAGCCTCCTTCACCGCGTCTCATTCCCCTCATTCTCCTCCTCCCGTCTCATCCTTCCTCCCGCCTATCCCTGCACCCCCGAACCTCCCCGCCCCCCCTTTCCCTCCCCCTCTCTCCCCCGCCGCCGCGCGCAGGAGCGCAACATATTCATCCGCGAGACGTCGCACAACACGTACCGCGCGTCGACGTACGTGGTGGCGACGATGGCGGTGTACATACCGCTGCAGGCGCTCATGGCCATGACACTCACGCTCGAGTCCTGGTGGACCGTCGGATTGTCGGGCGGCTTCCCGGGCGCGCTGTTTTTCGCCACCATCTGCTTCCTCTGTCTCTTTACGGGCAACGCCATCGCCACCTTCGCCAGTTCGTTCTTTAAGAAGTGAGTGTGCGGGTGCATATACGCGGGTTACGCGTGCGCGCGCGGGAGCGTTCCGTGTGATTGTGCGATTCGCCGCTTGTCGCATTGCGGCGTTGCGCGTGCGCGCGCATGTGATCCTCCCGCAGCGAGCGAGCGAGGCGACCCGGCTGTCGTGCAAGACACCTCCCACGCTTGCTTCTCTCTCCCCCTATTCCTCTCCACACCTCACTCTCTCCGCTCCTCCCCCCTTCGCGCTCCCTACCGCCCCCCCCCCCGTCCGCAGCATGATCCTGGCATACGCGACGGTGATATCGACGATGGCGTATTTCACGCTGGTGTCGGGGTTCTACATCCACCGCACGTCCATCCCCAAGTTCTGGATCTGGCTGCACTACATCTCGCCCATGAAATACGCCTTCGAGGCGCTCGTGCAGAACGAGTTCGTCAGGTGCGTTGCGTTGATGCGTGGATGATGGGAGGGTGGAAGGGTGGATGTGTGGGTGCGTGGTTGCGTGTGTGTGTGGGTGTGTTTGCGCGCAGGAATTGGCTATTGCGCTACTTGCTGCCTCTGCTCTCCATTCCTTACCTACCTCAGCACATCATCCCTTACTTTGAAGCTCCGCTCCCTGTGTCGCCCTTGCCTTCCGTCTCCTCTCCATGCCTCTCCTCAAATCAACAACTGCACCAACCCCCTCCTTTCTCCTCCCCCCATGCCACCTGTTCCTCCACCCCACAGGGACACGGGGCCGTGCAAACTGACGCTGAACGGGGCGTTTGACATCCAGCCCATCAGCACGCCCTCCCCTCCCAAACCCCCCCACTCTCTCCTCCCCTTCCTCCCTCCCCCCACCTTCACCCCACAGGGACACGGGGCCGTGCAACCTCACGCTGAACGGGGCGTTTGACATTGAGCCCATCAGCACGCCTCCCTTCCCAACCATCCCCTTCCCCAACTCTCTCTCTTCCCCTACCTCCCTCACCCCACCGCCACCAGGGACTCGGGGCCGTGCTACCTGACGCTGAACGGGGCGTTTGACATTGAGCCCATCAGCACGTACGTGAACACGACGCGGCTGAAGCCGGTGCTCATGTCGTTCCTGCCCAACGTGGTGACGCCGGGCGTGGGCCCGCTCACGTCGCAGTCGTGCATCATGACGGGGACGTTTATTAGTCGCAAGTATCTGGATATTGTGGAGCTGAACAAGTACCAGAGCATGGCTGTGCTGTTCTCCATGGCGATTTCGGTGAGGATTGGGTACTTTTTGGTGCTCACGCTGATTTACAAGGCGAAGAGGAAGTAGAGGGGAGGGAGGAGAGGGAAGGGAGAGGGGGAGGGGGAGGACGAAAAGGAAGGGGGAGGGGGGGGGTTGATTAGACGCTTACCATGCATGTGCAAACACAAAACACGCACACACAAACACACATATGGAGCAGACACCCAGAATGTGTCTGCTTGACTCAAGGGCAGGTACTGTAACTGGCCTATATGCAGCAGGCCTCTGTCAGCCCAGCCATTTCTGTATGGCTGCTGTGTGCAACTCGCAGGCAAGTGAAAGCCAGGTGGATGACAAATTTAGCAGTGGTGCTTTGCGAATGGCTTTAGTGATTGCTCAGCTCGGCAGGGTAGTGATGATGACTGCTTCTAGAACAATGCTGAAAATGTAGATTCTTTCATGATTATAATATTTGACTGAAATGTATGTCAATAATCGCTGTGAATCTCAATCTGTATTGGTGCTGTACTGGCAGGCGAAATCCCTCTACTCCATCTTGAGTATATCTCGCACACACATGATCATCTCATGCAGGAAGAAACCCACCCACCCATCACAAGCACTGCTCTTGCATTAGTCGCGCATGCAGTGTTTGGTCTCCTCTGCGTCGTACGTGGTCGCAAGAACGGTCAGTGCTAGTCGCGCGAATGTTTGTGGCCGTTCGATGGCCGGGAAACGTGACAGCTATACTGGTTCTCGAGGTGGGTGATTTCCCGTTCTTGACGAGCACGTTGCTGATACTTGACTGTGTTGAGCGACTGAATGTGTGGCCGAAGTGTTGAGAAACCGAGTAACTCCAATTGTGGGCGAGGCCCACTGGCGGCGCTCGCCATCGGGTTACTGCCGCCAGATTTGGCCAGTCTAATTTTGGCCAGAAACATGTGACAAGCCCTCAGCACCATATGCCAACAAACTAGTTGCGTCCTCTGGTCAGTGGCATTCCACGCGCTACTAGTCCCAGCATACCTTTTCTGTTCACTTGGTGTCTTTACGAGATAATTAACTTGCGACGATGAAGAGCGCGCGCGGTCGCGAGAGCTCTCGCCTGCTGTCGCTCCCCGACGAGCTGCTCCAGTCCGTTCTCGCGCGCGTCCACCACCCGCGCGATCGCTGCAGCCTCGCCCTCTCCTGTTCTCACCTCCGCCGCCTCTCCCGCCGCACGCCCCACTCCCTCCGCCTCCACTTCTTCGCGAAAAAACAAGGCGTCACCGCCCGGGAATGGATGAAGAACCTCGATATTTATTCCGGGGTATTCACCCATATAATCGACCTCACGGTGGAGGTTAGCTGCGCCACCATCGACTAGCTGCTGGGGGGAATCGGCGCGGGCTGCCCGAAACTGGAAAGGCTGAAGCTCGTGTCGGTGCGCGACCCGCGGTTTCAGATCAACGCCGCGGCTTGGAGGAAGCTCGCGCGGCAGTGCCCGTGAGTGTGATTTGGTTCTCTTGCCGCGACGGCGCCCCTACGACCGTTTATTCTCTAACAGCTATGACCGTTCTACCTAGTAGGTCACTTCTCTCCGCAAACCGCGCTTCTCGTCTCCTTCATCCTTTTGCTTTTAGAAACCTTTCGGTTCTCTATCATTTACCATGGCACGTAATCGCGCGGTTCAGTTTATTCTTGCGAACGGGGTTTACAATTTTGCTGTTATATCCTCATGGCTGTGTTCCGCCCTGATAGCTCTTGTGCCAAGAAGGAATGGAACCCCATCCGCAGCAAGCCTTCTAGCATCCATCTCCCGTCATTTCTTTGCACTCATGTGCGCCCGCCTTACCCACATCGTCGCGCCTCCCGTCACCATTTCACTTTCACATGGCCATTTCCAAAGGGGCAAGTTCCTTCCAAAGGGGCAAGTTCCTTCCAAAGGGGCAAGTTTCTTCCAAAGGGGCAAGTTCCTTCCGAAGGGGCAAGTTCCTTCCAAAGGGGCAAGTTCCTTCCACTCATCTTTATCCACTTCCCTCTACAACGCACCGTCCCTTCAATCCTCTGTTCTCAAACCTCCCCCCCACCCCTTCTCTCCGCCCCCCCCTCCCCCTTCGTTTCCCCTTTCCCGCCACCTCCCGCGCGTCCGCTCCCCCTCTCCCCCACTCATCAGCCGCATAACGTCACTCGAGCTCGACTCCCCACTCGACCGACGGTTCATCGAGTTGAACGAAACGCCGCCTCCCCCAGTAGACGCTTTCCCTTCACTGCACACACTCACCCTCCTCTACCAGCCCTCGCAGTACCGCTTCATCGCCCGCTGCTCCTCCCTCACCTCCCTCACCCTCTGGCGACCCAACGCCTTCGCCCTCTTCTCCCTCGCCTCCTCCTCCTCCCCTCTCCACCTCTCCCTCTCCTCCCTCACCATTCACTCCGCTTTGCTCGAAGCTGCTCTCACGCCCCTCGCCACCTTCCCGCACCTCACCTCGCTCACCTTTCACTCCTGCACCATCGACCCCTGTGAGCTTCACTCTCTCTCTCGCTCCCTCCACACTCTCACGCACCTCGCAGTCCACGACTGTCCCTTAGTCTCCAGTCATTCCCTCGCCACCTTGGTCGAAACCAACCTGGCTCTCTCCTCCCTCTCTCTCCACTCCACCTCCTACCCTCTCTTCGCCGCCCAAGGCCTCCGGAATGTGCTCCGCTCGTCCTCCTCCCGCCTCCACACCCTCACTCTCTCCGGGCTGCCCGCGTTCCGCCCCGGCACGCTTGCACGCTGCAGCGGTCTGAAGTGTCTCACGCTGAGAGGGAGGGGGGAGGCGAGGGAGAGTGTATCGCTGTCTGAGTCGACGTATGAGTCGCCACAGGAGCCGTCTTTGGAGGGCCTTGTGGCCTTTCTGGTGCGCGTGGAAGAAAAGGGAGGCGGAGGAGGAGGAGTGGAGCAGCAGGGGTGCCTGGAAGGAACAGAGGGAGGGGTCGATGCAGTGGAGAGACGGGAAGGGAAGAAGCGCAGGGAAGGAGGAACACCTGCGTCCGGTTCAGCAGCAGCAACAGCAGCAGCAACAGCAGCAGAAACAGCAGAAGAAGCAACAGCAGCAGGAGCTGCAGCAGAAAGCACAGCAGAAGCAGCCACGCCAGTACCGACCCACGCTGGGACGAGGGGCAACGAGGACCGGCGGTACTACCTGGATATCCGTATGGAAGCAGCAGCAGCGTGCGCTGACACGGCCGCAGCAATTGACGATTCAAGGGCCCTGCTGCTGACGACCGCTAAGCAGAAGCTCCGGAAAGCTATTTCGGAAGCGCAGGAGACTCCGCGCATGCACGGGGAGTCCGCCCTCGCGAATATACGGAATGCAGTCATTCTGGTGCGAGCGGCCATGTCGTTCTGCCGGTGCGTGCGGCTGGCTGTGGTCCACGTGGACGGCCGGATGGCACGCGAGGCAGCACTGAAAAACGTCGGTTCTGCTGCTGAGTCTGCAGGGTTCTTCGCTTCAGCAGTGGATTATGAGAGAGAGGAGCGCGAACGGGAGAGGGAGGGGCGGGAGGGAGGAGGAGGAGGAGGGAGGGAGGTGGAGGAGCTGGTGGGGTTCGTCCCTGAGAGTGACCTGCCGGCTGATCTGGCGGAGGTGAGCGAGACGCTGCTGGGGGAGCAGACGGGTGTGTGGCCGGCGTTTGTGGCGGTGTCGAGAGAAGATGCGCGCAGGCTGCTGCATGTGCTGAGGGAACAGCTGGATGCGCACATGGAGTCGTTCATCGATGCCTTTGAGGACGCCACGCCCCTAGCAGTGATTTGGGCAGCTGCGGCACCCGGGGCGCCTGTCGCAGTGCCGCCACCAGTGCCTGGGCCAGCAGCACCAGTGGCAGCGGCACCAGGAGCAGCAGCACATGGGGCAGCAGGGGCAGCAGCACATGGGGCGGTGGTAGATGGAGCGGCAGCACTTGGGGCGGCAGCAGATGGGGTGGCAGCAGATGGGGCAGCAGCAGATGGGGCGGCAGCAGATGGTGCAGCAGCAGATGGGGCGGCAGCAGATGGGGCGGCAGCTGATGGGGTGGCAGCAGAAGGGGCGGCAGCAGATGGGGTGGCAGCAGAAGGGGCAGCAGCGCAGGAGCTAACAAGCGCAGAAGGAGAAGCAGGAGGGCCAGTGGGAGAGGGTGCGAGCACCGAAGGAGCAGCGCAGCAGCTGCCAGAGGCAGAGTCGGGAGGAGGACAACGCACAGGTGACGAACAGACGAGAGAAGACAAGCAGCTGGGCAGCAGAAGCCCAACACACACATCTTTGAAGGGGCGCACAACACCAAACAAGAGCAAATGCATACCCTCCAAAAAGAGCACACCTCAAAATAAAAGCACACCCCCAAATAAGAGCACACTTGCAATTCCTGTGGAAGTGTTTTGCCCGCCGTTGGAATCCCTAACCCTCGAGAGCATTCAGTTCGCCGCCGATTATGACCCTTCCTGGCTGCCTTCTTCCCTCCCCTCTGCCTCGCCTCTCATGTGCCCCTTGCTTCCCACCACACCCCTTCCTTCCCTTCATTCATCCTCCTCCCCCTATCCTGTCCCAAGAAGTCTGAGAAGCGAGCCACAGACCTTCAAATCCCTGGCACGAGCTACTGTGTTTGGAAGGCTCAAGAACTTGGCGCTCTTGAGCTGCTGTGGGCTGGGGGAGGCGCAGCTGGTGAGGCTGCTCAGTGCATGTGGCATGCTGGAGGATCTGCAGCTGGGAGGCAGTGATTGGTTCTCAGACACGGTGATAGCAGGGAGTAAACAGGAGGTGCTGACTCAGTTGACTGCGGTGGGGTGTGGTCGAGTCACTGCAGACGGCATTGGCGGGCTGCTGGGAAACGTGCCAAGGCTGCGGCGGTATTTGAAGGTGGAGGCGAGTAAGGTTTTTGAAAGGACTCGCCGGGAGTTGCTCCGTGCTAGAGTGGTGGTCAGGGGAGTGTGAGACTGCAAGAATATTTTTGGGAGAGGTTACTGCTTGTCTATCATGTCAAACTATATTTGCAAATATCTTGTTAGGGTAGGTAGTTTAGGTTGAGGTACTCTAGTGAGTACAACATTGTTGATATAAACCTTTTATGCCCTTGAGTTAGGCATTTTCTTGAGTCCACTTTCTGACATGGTATCAATTACCGTAATACCCCGGATAGTAGCGCATATGCGCTTATAATAAATTCTTTTTTTTTTAGGGGGGGGCGCTTGTAATTGAGTAACGGCCATAAGCGCCGGCGCTTTTATAAAGGCAAAACTGAATTTCAATTTAAAGGATATCATTATGAAGCCCTCAATAAGGCGAATACAACACTGTACCATGCGCGCGGGGTCGTGCATGGAATGACAGCGAAACTTGCCACGGTTCGATTTCCCACCGCACAAAACCCGTCCCGGTGCAACGCACCTGCCAGCGCTGATGCAAAACCTGCCGTGCGGCCCAATCAGGTTGGCATGCGCTGCCAGGCAGGAGCATCTCGGCAGAACCATCCAGAACGTGATGGAATCTGCCGTGCCAGCGCAGCATGGATGGTGCCCCCAACCCTCCTCTGCGGGTTGGGGCAGGGGTGTACTCGTCTCTCATCGACGAGGACCCCGAGCCGCAAACCAGAAGGGGTCCCCTTCAATCTCCCATTTCAACACCCAGGGTTGCAGTTTTTTATTCAGTCTTCTTGTTCTCGCCCGCCTGGCTGCAGAAGCCATGGCGGAATTCACAGGCATTCATTTTCTCTTCAAGAAAAAACCTTCCAGTAGGCCCGCGTACCGTGTTACAGCTGACGGGTGGTATAGCCGCATACCTCCAGACCCTCCAGAGCCACCACAGCCTCCTGCGCCTCCTGCGCCGTCTGCTCCTCCGGCTCCTCCAGTGCCTCCGACTCCCCCTGCTCCTCCTGTTCCTCCGTCTCCTCCGTGTCCGGTGGCCCCTCACATCGACAACCACCCCGTGCTCACGCTCCTGCTCCCATCGGCGTTCGACGAGTATCTGTCGGAACCGGATTATGACAAGGGCCCCGATGTTGACATACCCGCTCCAGCGCCAGCACCACGTTGGGGTCAGCCAGAAGATTTCACGTGGGACGAATCTGCAGTCGGCGCTGACGACGACGTGCAAGACGCCGAGGAAGATTGGCGCGCTGAGGGCGACGCCGGCGCCGAGGGTGGCACTGAGGCAGACACCGAGGCCGCTACTGAGGCCGGCACTGCTGAGGATGTGTTTCCCGAGGGTGCGCCGGGCGGTGACGACAACGGCGGCGTCGAATACTGGTCACGCGATGGCCTCCCCGAGAAACTCCCGATACCAACTTATCATCCATGTAATCGAAAGCGACCTCACCCTTCTTCACAGAACCGTGATTCTCGCCCCCCCTCTCCCAGGCACAAGCCCAACGACCACAAGCGCCAGGCCTATACTGCCGCCGAGAAGTTGAAGTGGGTCGCGCAGCTGGATGTGGCGGTGTCGGTGCGCGCTCTGGCTCGCGAGAGTGGCATCCACCGCAAGTGCCTCGCCAACTGGAAGCGTGCCGCTGATTTCCTCAAGGAAGCCCACTCTGAGAAGAGTAGAACGAGAATGAATGAACTATGAATGAAGTGAGTACATATGGGAAACCCTAATTGGGTTGTACCCCCTATGGGATACCCCACTATAGCCTACACAACAGCATAAGCTATATATATGTTCTGACACACCCCCATAGGCAAAGTGGGGGAGAACAAGGGGTCACAAGACCAGTCAAGCAAAGCAGAGCAAGCTCAGGGTGGATCACAAAGTCACCACACAGTCCGAGCACAACGACAGGGCAACAGGGCCAGTTCACATGCAGGAGTACACATATATATATAGAGCTAGACAAGCAAGAGCAGGAATATATATGTGACAGTACAAGCAAGGTCAAGAAGAGAGCAAGTGAGGCAAGACAGGTACAAGACCCAGCTGGGTGCAGAAGCGCTGATGGTCACAAGGCGCAAGTGCCTTGGTGAACACATCAGCAGTGTTGGCCTCAGAGGCCACGTACGCAAGTCGCAACTGACCACGCTGCTGCAGCTCACGAGCAAGAAAGTAACGGAGAGCAATGTGCTTCGTTCTGTGCTCCAAGCGCTGCTCTCGACACAAGGCCAGCATGGCCTTGTTGTCTACGTACAACACTGGAGGAGAACGAGGCGGCTCTCCAAGGTCAGTCAGCAGGTAGGTGAGCCAGCGAAGCTCCTGTGCAGCCATGGCCCCGGCGTAGATCTCAGCCTCACAACTGGAGCTGAGAACAGAGGACGAGCGAGTAGCCCGCCACGAGACAGAGCCGGAACCAAGACTGAAGGTGTAACCCTGCGACGACCGCTGTGTAGCCTGGTCGTCTGCCCAAGAAGCGTCCGCGTGCCCAGTGAGGACCACTGGACTCCGCCCTCCAAGCACTAGCCCCATGCCCGACGTACTGCACAAGTAGCGCAACACCCTCTTCGCTGCAGCCATGTGCTCTGGTCGGTGTCTCCCAGGAGCAACATAGCGTGAAAGAATGCTAAGAGGGTATGCAAGGTCAGGTCGTGTGCAGGTCATCAGGTACATGAGGCAGCCAACAAGCTCTGGGTACGGGCCACTCGACTCTACGGACTCATCCGAAGGCAGAGCTGAGAGCGAGTGGCGAGTAGACAGAGGAGTGGCCTGAGGCGAGGAGTACGTGAAGCCGAAGCGTTGAAGGACCTGCTGCACCATGTGTGACTGAGTCAAGGTAATGGTGCGGCGTGCTCTGTCCCGAGTGATCTGCAAGCCAAGGTAGCTGCGCAGTTCACCGAGGTCTGTGCACGTGTGTCTCTTCTGCAGCTCGGACTTCACGTAGGCTAGTCCAGCAGTGTCAGCTGTGGCAAAGACCAAGTCGTCGACGTACACGAGGACGTAGAACGGCGGCAAAGAAGTGTCGGTGCGCAGAAACAACGACGGGTCAGCAGTAGAGGGAGCAAACCCAAGAGCCGCAAGCGTAGTCCTCAGTGTGTCGTGCCACTCACGCGGTGCCTGGCGGAGACCGTAGACTGGCCGTCGGAGGCTCCACTGGGTGCCAGGAGGAAAAGTCCCAGTGAAGCCAGGTGGACGGCGCAGCCAGATCTCCTCGTGCAGGCTACCCTGCAAGAAAGCAGTACTGAAGTCAAGAGAGTGGAGCTCGTAGTCGCGCTGAGCGGCTATGTGCAGCAGCACCCGAAGAGTGGTCATCTTCGGGGTGGGAGAGAAGGTCTGAAAGTAGTCAACTCCCTGCCGCTGACTGAAGCCACGAGCGACGTACCGCGCCTTGAAGACAGGTGGAGAGCCCGGCGGCCGCTTCACCCTGAAGATCCACATGCCACTGACGATGTTCGCCCCAGGAGGGGGAACCGCGTCAACGTAGGTGCCTGTGGACTTCCAGGACGCCATCTCTGCATCCATAGCTGCCTGCCACTGAGAGGAGTAGGGACCCTCTACGGCCTCCGCGTAAGAGCGCGGAGTCGGGATGTCTAGTGCATCCGGGTCTCCCTCAGGGGCAAGTAGTACGGACGCGAGATGAGGTGAAGCAGCAGCCAGACACCTGAACTCCTCCTGCCTGTCCTCAAGGACGTCCGTGCCAAGAGCACACTCACCCCCGACGGACGGAGGACAGACAGACGCAGACTCAGCAACAAGACCGGCAGCGTAGTCTAGACGACAGCGAGCAGCAAAGTCGACGAGCTCAGCAACAAGCGCAGACGCAGCAGTGGACTCAAAAGAGGGGTCAGTGACGACAGTAGCAAGGAGACGTGTGACAGCAGGACTGGCAGCACGAAGAGAGTCCGACTCCGGGTCAGGAAGAGCAGGAAGAGAGGACTCAGGAGGAGAAGGCAAAGGGGCACGCAGAGGAGCAGTGGACGGACGCAGAGACATCCGGTGCGTGCCAGGGACAGGAGGAGGACGCTGACGCGAACCACGACCACTAGTGCGAGCAGCACGGACAGGCGACGCAGGGCGAGACGCAGGCTCACGACGCTCAGCAAGACCTCCAGTAGGACCAGTGTAGGGAGAAGGAGCGGGCAGTGGGGAGGCCGGCTGTAACTGTAACTGTGACAGGACAGGCTGTGGACACTCTAAGGGAGGAGGAGGACCAGTAGAAGGCGGGAGACCAAGAACCTGCTGAAGGAGCGGAACGAAGTACGGTCTAGGCCGCGCGACGACTCCAGACACAGCAGGGACAGCACCAGTACCCCCAGCGGCAGCACCAGCGCCAGTAGCACCTCCAGCTCCAGGACCTCCAGCAGCACCAGTAGCACCCCCAGCAGGACCGCCTCCAGGACCGACAGCAGTAGCCTCAGCACCAACGCCCTCAGCAGCTCCAGCTCCAGCACCTCCGGGACCCGCGGCACCAGCACCCTCAGTAGCCGAAGAACCTCCAGCTCCAGCAGCACGCCTCCAGCGCCGGGCAAACCACTCGCGCAGCTCCTGTGGAGAGAGGGGCTCCCGCCGAGGCGAAGCACCCGGAGAACCGCCAGGTCCCGCACCGCCAGACGCCACAAGGGGAGGTCCAGTGGCCGCAGGCTCCGCAGCTCCAGGCTCAGCACCTCCAGACGCAGCACCCCCTGGCTCAGCACCCCCAGTAGCAGCACCCCACGGCTCAGCACCCCCAGACTCCGCACCCCCAGGCTCAGCACCCCCAGTCGCAGCACCCCCAGGCTCAGCACTCCCAGACTCCGCACCCCCAGGCTCAGCACCCCCAGTCGCAGTACCCCCAGGCTCAGCACCCCCAGGCTCAGCACCCCCAGACTCAGCACCCCCAGGCTCAGCACCCGCAGCAGGACCAGAGTCACCAGCAACCTCGACCGGCTCGACTGCGTCTACCTGGGACACACCTGAAGGGGCAGGACCCTGAGGGGGAAGGGGGTCTACCGGGGGGGGACCTGGCACAAGGAAGTGCGGTGGCGGGGGGAGGGAAGGAGTGCAGTAGGGGAAGAGGCGGTAGAAGGGGACTG